TAACATGGTAAAGAAAAATCTGTTTACTATCTTTTAAAGTCATATTTAAAAATGAGTAACAGTCATAAGATTACAGAAAAACACTCTACTTTCTTATCTCACATCAATTGGGCTGGGAGGAATACATTTTTTTAAAAGGTCAGGTATGAGAATTTTAACAACCATCACAGCGAAATTTTTTTTTGTATACAGTACAATCTGTGGGGAAACACAAAAATGCACACACCTACCACATATTGTGCAGACTTTACACATTAGTCATTTGGGGAATATTTAATGACTTGAGAGAGTCTCATAATGTAAATGAAATGCAATATACATAATACTAACTTATGCAATTAAATATCAATTTTAAAAGACAAATCACTAAAACCATCTAATTAAGTGGAGGCATATTAAGGAGGAGACGAGCAGGAACGACCCGAGGAGAAGGAGGCAGAGCTGGAGAGGGTGAGAGAGGACGGACGCACAGGGAGCATCATTCTGCTCTATCACCATGTTCTCAGTACCGAGGGAGTGGGGATGTCTTACTTTTCTCCTTCGTTATATTTGCAAATAGTTGTGGTGATCAGAACAATAGTTATCATTTTTTGGGTCTATCATTAAATAATACTAATTAGCAAATGCGATTTAAGTTAAGAGTTGTGAATTTAATAAGATAGCCTCCATTATACTAAATTAGAAAAAAATTTCCCTATATGTTTAAAAAATGTCACTACATGGGAACTATTTTCATATGAAAATTCCTAGTGGATGCACAGTCCTTGAAATGCCTCCGGAGACCATCAGAGACAATAGATAGTAGGGTGTGCTCACTAGATTACACAAGCCACAATCTGGAGAGGTGCTGTATACTTTCCCATCTTTTGTGTCTCGGTTAGTACTTTTTGATCTATAGAATAATCATCATGCTTTTTCCTGAGTCATTTCTACTTCCTGTCTCTTGGAATGCTTACTTTTGGAAACCAGCCACCATACTGCTAGAAGTCAAATCAGATGAAGCAGTCAAGTGTAGAAAAGCATGCTAGTAAACCATCCCAGCTGAGCTCCCAAAGGACACCTGCATCAACTGTTAACCATCTGTATTCCCGCATCTTTAACATCCACTGTAGTGTACAAGCCACCCTGTAACTGCAATGCCATGGGAGACCTCAAGGAAAAACATCTTCAAATGAGAGATGATAATAAGTTGCTACATCTTGGGACTTTATGTTACTCAAGCGGAAATCCAAAAATTCTACCAAACTCACTGCCAGCAAGTTGATTCCAACTCACAGAGACTACGTAGGACAGAAGAGAACTGCCCCTTTGGGGGTTTGAGACTGTAAATCTTTATATAAATAAAAAGCTTCATTTTTCTCCCACATAGCAACCAGTAGGTTTGAACCACTGAACTTGTGGTTCGCAGCTCCAAGCAGCTCACTGTGTATTCCACTATGCCACCAGGGGCCTTCAAAGGTGGATAAGCTTGCAATATACTGGTGGGAATTTAAACAGTAAGATGTCTAACAAAGCCCTTTGTTGAGAACAGTTATCAGTTGAGGTACATTATATCATCCCATAAGGACTTGGACACCAGAAATACATTTAAAATTTCCATTGACAGAAACATATATATGTTGTCTTTACGGAGGCTAAAATCATCTTAATCAGGGTTGGATAAATAAAAATTAAATCTTAGAATCTCTTGCAGTAAGTTACACTGGCAATAAGGCACCTTTCTTAGAATACAAGGATATTTAAATAAGCATTATCAACATAGTTGCACTTACACTACTCAGAATTTTAAAATTTGCTTATTGTACAGTGCTAAAGGCACTTACTATGCAAAAGAGTAAACAGTGGGTGGGGGGGCGTGAACATACCTGGGCCATTTAAATACTGGGTAAGTGAACAGTGTAGTCTTACAATTATAGGTTCTGTCCGAATTACTTCCCAAGCCACAGCAATCTCCTCCTGAACAAATAAAATTAAAATATAATTAGTCACCTTTTAGTAGAGTTTAATAAAAAATAAAATTTTAAAAAATGCTGATGAAAGAAATATATAAATTATGAAGGCTTAAATGTTATCTCACACCTACTTCTTTGTGTAATGAGGTCATACGATTGCTTTTCATTATATGTAAAGGTGAAAAATTAGAACTTTAGATATATACCCACTCCTCACTTTTCAACATGGTTATACTCCAAAAAACCAAGCTGTCATGAGAATACTGCATTATACCAAAATAGATGACCATATAGATCATAAGTGTCAGATGATCATGAGATACCTGCTAAATGGCATCATTTCAAAACTGCCAAACCACTGAGAACCATGGCCCAGCCACGTGGACATAAAACCTTAGGCATCGGAATCACAGCCAGGTTACTCCTGGCTCTCATCTCCGTGCTTGTCACTGTCAGGCAGACACGATTAATGTGCCAAATAGTTGGACAGAAGGACTGTTTAGCATTCTTACAAATGTGAAATGTCAAGACAATGATGTAGTCAGTATGTAAAGAGTAGGCATAACAATCTACGATAATAATAGCCTATACATGTTAATTATTAAGAGAACCAAGGAAAATAAGAAATATACATAATCTTTGCCTCTATAGAGTCATAGTATTTCTTCATAAACAACGTCAACCAAGCAAAACATAAAAGAGAACCTTTCGCCCAAGAGTAAACATGGATGTATTTTAAAGATACCAATCATTACATAAATAATACTTACATCAAGAAAGCTAACATCAATATGCAGATCAATGTCTACATCATCAATGGCTCCATATTCCCTGAAAATAAAAATTAACATTAATTTTTTATGTTCCTTAGAAAGATGTGCTTGGTTATGATCAAGTAAAATTCATTCCCTCATTGGCACATATATCTCAGAACTGGTTGGACTGTCAGCTTCTATGATCTATTTATGCAACACAGGAATCCTTTTATGAACACAATTAAACTGTTGTTGTTCATTACCTCCAATCCACAGTGACCTTATGCCGAACAGAAGGACAAATGTCAGATCTTATGCTATCATCATTGGTGTGTTTCAGCGCACTGTGCTGGTCTGTGTGAAACCATCTAATTAGAGTTTCTCCTATTCACCAATCAAGGTGGCTTTTTAAAAAAAATAATTTTATTGGGGGCTCGTACAACTCTTATCACAATCCTTATATACATCCATTGTGTCAAACACATTTGTACATTTGTTGCCATCATCATTCTCAAAACAAGGTGGTTTATCTCAACATTGATATTTACTGAAAATGTCTACACAGCAAGCTAGTAGATGTCTCACCATTCTCACTTGTAAGAAACATGTTGTATTCCTTCTATATTCAAGAGTTGAGTGGTTGTTAGTATTAAAAATTCCCAATTATCTGTGGCAAAACAAAATAATAAATCTTGCTATGTGTTTGCTCTTTTTGCATTGCACTTTCTGGGGATAAGATGCTCTGAGAGCAAAGGCGCTTCTGACATGAGGAAGGGATAGAGGGATAATTAACTGCCATAATAATGTTCCCATAAAATTTCCTTCCAAAGTAGCTAAGTTATCTGGCTCTGAAAATTATCTGG